TGCTCTCTCTGACTTTTGTCAGGATGGTGATCACCTTAGAGACACAGTTTACTCCCTAAGTCTAGCATGTTACTTTCATTTTAACACAATACAATGGCAGAAAATATGGGAAGCTTTCAAGCAATTGGTTGCTTTGTCTCTCCAAGAAAAGCTTGACTAAGTCTCACCTCTCCTTGTGAGCATGTGACTGATGTTGTGGGGTCAACCTATAGATCCTACCAGAGATTTTCAGCCCTGACTCCCCCATCTTGTTATGAGCCAAGGTGACACGTTAAGATAAAGAAAGGACCATTTCTGATGGTTTAGTGCATGGAAAAAGCTTAGTATGGAAGCAGGCCAATTTGAGGATCCTAGAGGATGGACAGGATGGCACAGCTAGGTGCAGAGGCCATTAGAGGCACCGGGTAGGCTGACTTGGGCTGCCAGTGAACCCAGCCTAGAATGTCTCCTCTCCTTGAGAGGAGTCTCACTTTTTCTCTCACGTGTCACAATGGGTGGTTGAGTTTTGTTTTTCTCTGAATTGACTTGCATTTTCAACTGAGCTTATGCTCCTTCAGTTAAAGCAAGCTATACTGAGTAGGGGACAGGAATGGGAAGGTGGGAATATTGCAGAAGGACTCAAGGCAAGGTGCAGTCAAATACTTTTAAGTCAAAGTATTTGTTATAAATTGTGGCAAAGAAAGTAGCTGTGATGATGTGTGCTCTCTAGGAGACAGAACATCTGTAAGCAGTGATAGGAAAGTGAGCTGGAAACTGAAGACTGTCCACTGATCAAGAGAGAAAAATGATTGATTTCTCACAACTGCTTTCCTATTTTGCTTTTTTAAAAAACTCTCTCACTAAATAATCTGTCCAAATACTTAATTCTGCTATGAAGAAGGGTTTTTTTTTTTTCCTGTTATCTAACCCAACTCTCCATTGCTAAAATGATTCCATTGTTTATCTTCCCATATTTCTTGTCCTGTCCCTCTGGATATGTAAATAATTGATGAACTTCCACTTAGCGCCATTTTTAACCTTTGCAGTTTTGTTATCATGTCCTGCTCCAGACTGCCCTCTTTTGGAATAGATTCCACCAGCATCTGCTTCTGCATCTTTCCAGAATTATGGTATCCCTTTAAAGGAGAAAAATAAATAGTTTGATATTATTGGTACTTGAAAAATCTTCTCCCTCTATTGAAAGCTGATTGTTATATGAATAAGTTAGATTCCTAAGAGGTGTGAATAGTAAAGAGTGGTTTAGTTTGCACAGCGAAGATAACGGTGGGGCCTCGGGCACAGAAGACCACATATGTTTTTTATAATTGGAATAATGAACTGACAATGCTACACTTTGATATATTAACTTGGAGCAGGTTTAGGCAACGGACAACGATGTTCTAGCCTCTGGTGTCCTTACTGTCCATATTATTTCTGAAATCAAACTTCACTGGCACTGCTGGATCCTTAAAGAGGTGAGGCTCCTGTCACTGCTGAATGTGCTGCAAATGTGCGCTCAGTCAATAAAATATGTTACTCAAGGCATATTATGGGTTATGCCACCTTACACTGCTTCAAAGGCAATATATAAATTAGGTAATTCTGTGAGATAAAGGAACTTTTTGCTGTGAAACATGTTTCCTCCACTCTCCCCTAGATGAATTCATTAATTTTTGCTGTTTAAATGCCAAACCTAAGAGTTATAAGAAGGATAAAAAACTGTAAAAATTCTTACTTTAGTAAAACATATTCTTGAACTGTGCAGTAAAGAGTTTCTTTGTTGTTTAAGCTTACTCTTGCTGTGCAAGCATAAAATGTATGCTAAATCTGATAGCTCTCTGGTGACTGCTAACAAAATAAGCCTATTAGCTAAGAAGACAATTTACAAACCTACCACATCAAGCATATTTCTCATAATCTTCTTATCAATGTTAGGCCAATATTCATTTTCTCTCTTAATATATACTTAATTTGTTGTTAAATCTGATTTAGATACATGTACCTCCCTTCTCTAGTATTCTAAGACTTCATACACCTTGCATCATTTTTGGAGATTATTGTAAATGATTTAGAGCTAATACATGATTTTTTTTTTCAGTCCTCCATGGTGAATATAAGCACATAAGGCAAAGCTGATTTAATTACAGTATCTATTCTTTCCTTGTTCCAGTTTCTGTTCTTTCTCAGCATAATTAACATTGTTAACCTTCTGTCACAATTCATATTTTTAGTGAAGATTAAAGTAATAAAAACCTAGTATGTTTATGTCTTCTTTACCTTATTCATTCTCATTAATCATTTCCCATTAAATTATGAAGCTATACTTTCTTTGGGATGTGTTTTCCTTTTTGTTTTAGTATATTTATAGATGTCATGTCTTTTTTGTACTTTTAACACATTCTAGATACCAAAACAATATGGTTGATTTTTATTACTAATTTCATTGTGTTCTCCTAACATGATACAGGCCAGAACATATGGAGCAAATTACTCATCCCATCAGAACTATTCAGATTATTTTTGTAGACTGTATATGCCAGTTGTACAATAATTGGTTTTTCATTACCAAAAATATCTTGTCGACATTTGCAATTTTTTATTTAGTTAATTTAACACTTTCTACCATGAATAGCAATAAAGTGTGGAATCTGGAAGATTGTTTTTTTTTTTTTCATTTAAAGGTTTGTCTAAATATGTTTGTTGCTAAAAGTGCTTTTTAAAACACTGCTGTCTGTGTATTATCCACACACATAGTCTTTGGCAGTGCAAAATGGCCTTAAAATATGAAGACATTATGATTAGGTTCTATTGGGATGCTCTGGTAACTACTTATTTATGCAATACCACTTATTTACAAGGAATGTATATGAATCCTACTTCTTATAAATGTCATAAAGAATTTCATAAATTACTTAGAAACCCTAAATAAACAAAGAATTTCCTTCCTCGGGAAAGTCCAAACCTGTATTTCCCCAAGGAAATCTCTCCATTCTCCCTTTCATGGTGAGGTTCATGATGGCACTGCCTTTCTGCTTGACTTCTCCTTGCTTGATGATTGCTTTCACCAGAAATGTGCAAAAGTCAAGCAAGTGAATGCCATAGCCTCAGTATTTTCAGGCCATAGAGATATTTCCATGTGCTCTTATTTTGACCTGTATGCTTAGTGGCCTTGGTGCTTGAACCGCTGCAAAATAGAGCAGCTTTAAACTGATGGCTTTTGCAGCCTGCATGGCAAGTGTTCAGCTGGATGCAGACAGTACCTGTCCCCTTTGCTAGAATCTCACCAGACTCTGTACAGAAAAAATATAACTTTTAGAGCCAACTTTTGAGGATTCAGCACAATAGAACAAGTTTAAAAGTATTTCTGTCAAATATTTATTTTTTCTTCAAGAATCCACATTTGGTTTCCTGTCAGACTGTGACTGGCTCTGATGTGGTTCAAGGAGGAGGGCAAAATAAAAGGACAGTTTCCTTCTGATATTTTAATATTGCACCTTGTCTAAGCAAGAAGAAGGTGGAATCATTTTGGATCTTGTACCAACTGCAGAATAAAAGAACAGTTAAAAAAATCCTGATATATAAATATATAAATTTAATGACAATATATCTTATACATAAATAGACTACATATTGATATAGAAATGCTGTAGGTCTGAGAAATGCTCAGGCTCAATTTACACTGAAGAAAACTTTTGCTGTTTCAGGTAAAATGATTGGTAGCTGATTAGAAGGTTTCAGAAAAAAAAAAAATCTAGAAATGCCATTCCAGAAAAAAAATTTTGACTTTATAGTCTTTGTTAGCATATTTTGCCATCATCTGAAAACAAAATTGCACGAATTTTGTCCTTAACTTCCTAACATCTGTACCTAGCAGTTCCTTGTTTTGTGAAATTTCTCATTTCTCCTTTTTATTTTAATCTTGTCAACATGCTTGAGGAGCTGATTCTTTTTGTGCCTTCTCTTTCTGCTGAGCAGCCAAATAGGAACAAGTTTTGTACCTTGGGAATGCTGTCATCTTGGCAGTAAACAGGAGCTGATGCCAGGTGTCCTCGCTATCACATTTTCAATACAGGTTCAGAACAAATCTCTTATTGCACTTCAAATAATATTTTCACACCAAGATTTGCTATTCCACTGAGCAATTCTTTCAAACGATTCAAAATATTTATATGGTAAAAATATTCTGTAATAAAGCCAGGCCTTTATGCAGTTATAGGGACAGTCTATAGGGGTCTGGAGATAACTTCTATTTCTATTGTATTTCCATCTCTGTATTTATGAATATGCAAAACCTGTGAGTGCTTGCTCTGTAATGTGGGTAGGAAGAGGCACGCAGCTTTTTGTGAAATTGTGGTTGTCACTTGGGCCCGCTTTCTGACAAGATTTACCTGCTTGGCAAGATAAACGGTACTCATTTTAAAATGAGCCATTTTCTAGGTAGTTTGGGGTGTTAGTCTTCTGATTGCATTTATCCAGAAGTGAAGGTCAGTAGGATACTTAGGAAAGGAATATCTCTAATGCCCTGCAGAGTGAATTCCCCTGAAATTCAGCACCTCTAAAATTGTCTCTTATCTCATTTCACTCATGATAACATGGGACTGGCATGTTTTCCTGATGATGTCTCACCCAGTGGCCTCATTAAGGTGTAAGATTTGAAAGCTGAAACTGAGTTTCCATCTTTTACGTTTCGTTGTTCGTTTTGTCCCATGAGTTCCCTTCATGCTTCCGGGGTGATAGCAGAAAAGTGTTCACACATAAAACCTGTCTGCTATATATCTATAATCTGTGGCACCTGCCTTCCTCAGGCAGCACCATTTGCCTTCCCTTTAAAGCCATTCATTTCCAAAGGCCAAATTTGTGCTGTGTGGTCCTGTCATTTCAAAATATGACATGTGACAGATATTTCCTTATTTAGCACTCAGAGCATTCTACCCACCCAGTGTTTGAAACTGAGGAGGACATGTCACCATCCTCTCTTCTGAGGGTCTTTATTGATAGTTACTCTCACCACTCACCTTTTGGGGTAAGGAAGCAAAGATTGAAGCATTTGCAATGACACCCTCCAGGCTCTTGCTTGTCCTCTCTCTTGTTTGTGGTGCTTTGCAGCTGGCAGGTAAGTGCCTCCTGCTTCTCCCCATAAAGCTGTGCATGAATGTACTTCTCTGTCTCGTAATATTTGACATGGCTTTATGATTCTGTGGTGATGCCTGACTATATGTTATTAGTTTGAGACACACAGATGGGAAATCTCCTAAAGCAGGGCAACAGGCAGGATCTAACAGAAGAGAGAAATGAGTGGAGAAGGAAGAAAAGACTGAATTCTTAATCGCTTTGTTCACACAGATTTGTAGTGGCATTATTTCATATAATTCAGAGGATCAGAACTAACAAAATCATACGTCAAAAATCAGAACACAGATTAAAAAAAAATTAAACTATATTTTTTAAAAATAGACCTGTTGGTGTCTGGGTTATGGTTAGCAAAACCAAACAAGAAAATCTCAGGGGTTGTAAGGTACAGAATTATTTGAAGGGTGTTAAGATGTTCACAGCTGATGGTTGTGTAGCTCAGAGAAACTCAGTGCTTACAAAAAGGGCTGTTTTCAATCTGTTCATATGGTTTTGAACAGATGATGAATTCATTGGTGCAGATCAGGTTGATGAAGAAAACTTTGTGTGAAATAAAGTTGGTTAAGTATAGAAAAGTTATTGTAGAACTACACTGGCAATATTATTGCTATCTTTTTAGCTGCACAGCTTTAGATGTTAAATAGATGTCTTTTGAAGACTTATATGTTAAAGGGTAAATCCTTTTGGCTTTGTAATTACTGAGTAGAACAGTTCATTATAGATCGTCTCAGTTTCTGGGGATTTTTTTAGCTGCTCATAGTATTGCTGCAGGGACAGAATAGTTCATTTCAGTGTACCGTATATTACCAATTAAATTGATTTCAATTTTTTTTTCAAGATTTCTCTGATTTCTATTTTTTTTTGCCTCTACACTAGTATATGTCCAGTGCTGACCTCCATAAAAATGTGGGTAGGGGGCCCAAAATGGGCTAGAAAGGGAGGAAAACAGAAGCTGATGTGTCATGAAGAACATTATGATAGAATCAGAATTGTTGGAAGAGACCTTTAGAGATCATCTAGTCCAATCCCCCTGTACATGCAGGGTCATCTAGAGTGTGTGGCACAGGATTGTGTCCAAGGGTGTCTTGAGTAACTCTAGAGAAGGAAAATATACAAATATATAGCCTTCTAGAGAAGGAAAATATATGATAAAGCAGTAGAACAAATTCATATGCGTGGCTCAGTTTTGCTTCTGACAAACTATTAGGACAGAAATCAGCTCAGCTGCTTCTATACATTGCAGTCAACTTTGCAAACCTAGTCAAAGAAACTAAATGGAGCTCTCAGGACTCAACTGTTGTTACAGGCCGACCTTCTAACTTCCACAGGCCTTTCCAAGTGGTGCTTGAATGCCACTATTATCCAGTCCTTGCTTCTTTCTCAGGCTCTGCATTTTGTGCCATGACCAGTGTCATGCCGTTTTACATCACTCAGATTCATACAGATGCTGCAGGTTTTGTAGGCCAGCCATGCCAATGAACCCAGGGTAACTCGTTTTCTTTACCCAGATTTATATAGTAAAAAGAAAGGAAAATCTGGATTTTAGAGGGAGAAGGCAAACATCTTAGAAAAGTTGACTATGACCCACAAGGAGACCTGTAAGATCTTGCAGGGTCAGAAAAAATTCTCAGAGTTCAGAGGTCTACAAGGTCAAGAATCTGAGGACACATGGGATATGAGGTAATGGTGATAACAGTGAGGTTGAGGGACTTCACATGACTAGTATAAATCAATCCCACAAGATGTGCTTAGCTGGGCTGATGCTGCAGGCAACACTAAATCTATTATGGTGACTCATAATAAAGGACATAAACTACTGTCTCCCTGATTGTTTTTAACTAATAAAATCGAAACTATACTTGATTGTATTCAAAAACATCGTCTTTGTATCTGAATCCTATTTGATTACGTGAAAAGGAAGCAGAGTTATGTCTCTTATCCAATGTGTATGTATTACATATCAACAATATACTTTGCATTATTTCGTTCCACAGACATCAAAACATTTCTAATTTACAATGAAGCAAACAAGCTCTGCCTTCAGGCTTCTTTAACTCAGTCAGTTAGAACTGCTACTTGCCATCAAGACAACGAATCACAAAAATTCAGGTGGATCACCGATCATCAGGTTATGAGTGCCAAACTGAAGCTATGCTTGGGTGTGCTTTCAAAGGAGGACCAAGCTGTGATCACCCTGCATCCGTGTAACCAAACAAGTGAGCTCCAGTGGTGGGACTGCAGAAATGAGAGCCTGCTTGCAATCCAAGGAGAAGATTTGTTTTTTAGTCCAGGCAACAGAGAATATGACAATGTCATGCTAAGAAAGGGATTGAGTGCAAAGAATAATTGGAAAATCTATGGAACTACAGATGTTTTATGTTCCCATGGATATGAAGGTACTTTGTGAACATTGATTCTTCCATTCTTTGCTTTTTTTTTCTTGTGAAGTAGTGTTTGGAGTCTTTGAACATTGTAGTTCTTTCAGTGAACATCAGAGTTTTGAAAATCAGGATGCTGAGGGAGTTAGCCTTGAATTTGCTTTCATTTTTATGACTATCATAAGTACTCTCTACAGAAACTATTGCCTACCATACTACGTTAGTACACTGTTAACAGTATAAATCAGGAGGACTGTTGTATACAGCAGCGTGAGGACAAAATTACATCCTCAGGTAAGAGGGAAAATGTGGGTAAGCAGGGAGAGGCCTGGAAGTACCACCATAGGTGAGGTCTGGCTTTTCTAATTCAGCCCTTGAGGATGACCACAGCATTATTATTATTGTTATTACTGGTACATTTTTCCTTTTGTGATTAAACGGAATCTGATTCATTCAGAGGGCTTTCTCACATCCAAAACAAATGTTCTGAAAACTATGCTTTGGGATATTTGCAATATTGATTGCCTGCCTATGGAAGCTGCTCCATTACGTGTGAAAGGCAATGCTGTTTTGTAGTTGTGTAAATGTGAAATTGTTTAAAATAGTAGTATTTTAAGGTAAAGCTGTGAGGCTTTAGCAACAGCTGCTGAAAGCATCTTGGTTAGAACAAAAATATGGTTGTAGAGCTCAGGTATAAAATATGACTTTACATCATAGTAACACTGCTTTATAAAAAATTAATCAACTTAAGCTTGAAAAACTACTGAAATGAATTTTGCTAGGGCAATGAGAGAGCTAACATGGAAGTTCAAAGTGCAATTCACTCATTAGCACAGATTTCACATTTTGCACATTTACATGAAATTATTTTCTCTACTGTCTTTATCATTTTCTCAGAGACCTTTACATTACTAGGAAATGCTTTTGGGGCACCGTGTGTATTCCCCTTCCTTTACAACAAGCAGTGGTACTCGGAGTGCACAGACGCTGGCAGGACAGATGGCTGGCTGTGGTGTGGGACAACTGCAGACTATGACACCGACCAGAGATATGGATTCTGCCCATTAAAGGGTAAGTTCTGTGTTCTCACACAGATTCCCTCAATGTGTCACCGGCAAACCAGCACTAGTAAACCATCAGTATCGTTATGAGGAGGCATCATTTACAAGATGCAATTTTGCCACATCCTGCAGTGTTCTGCACAAGGCAAGAATGCAACATATTGCAGAAAGATGTGGAGAAAAGTGTGATCAGAGTAAAATGAAATGAAGTTCTCCCTATTTGTGGTGGTGTTGCTGAACAGCACAATAATTTAGAATTGTTTGCTGTTTCCCAAAAAGGATGTGTGCTGTCACCATTGTGCAACCCTTTTTCTGAGATGCTCCTACTGGGATGCATGTGGGTACAAGAATGAGTCCTATAGGAAGCTTAATGGTGAGGTTAGCTTTTCAGACAGAAAGAATCCCATTTGGATATTTTTTTTTTTTGGCTGGAAATGGAATGTCTCCTTTTATCCACCCTGTTAAGCTCTCCACATGTCTTTTGGAAAGCAGCCTTTCCACCCCTCCAGACAACTACCTCCCACCACTGACATTTCTCTACTACTTCAGACACTTTTTGGAAATTGCCTTCCTTTTCTGTGGTTACTTCCCTCTTCATGTTCCTTGTTGGCGTTATTCCAGATGAGCTTTGCTTTCTAGATCTTGGAGATTCTTCCGACATTTCTCACTTCTCCCCTATATTCCTTCTCATTTTTGTACTTGAATATTACATCTTTTATTATTGAAATGCCTCATTACTCCACTTGATTCATAGTGCTTCAGGCATGATTTAAATTCATAGTCAAAAGCTTTCCAGGTTCTTATGAAGGTCTAACAGCCTGAGCCTAAATAGCATGGGAAATAAAATCAATTGGCAATTTTCTAATCTTCTGAAAGCCAATCCCAGCTCTCAGCTGTACTTTTAATTCAGCTTCATATTGGCTTTTGTAAATAATCAAATACCCAATCTAGCTTTATATCACACTTTATTGAATGTATGTAGATTTACAGCAGATCAAAAGGAAAAAAGATAATGTGAAGGAATGTAATATGCGCTAGTAAGATTGCAGTGCCCAGACTATTATCCAAAAAGAGGAGTTGCTGTGTGTGACTTCATAGATTTAACCTAGGATTTCTGCTGAAGGACTTCATTCAATACTTTTTTCAATGCAATTCCTTTCCCTGCAGAGCCGTAGTAATTCCTGAATTATCTATCTTCATAGCTTCACTCAATAGGAAGCAGTATTTGCCGCACAAACTTGGGAATGTTCAGTCTTTAGCTTTATATTTTCCCATCCTGCTCATAACATTTTCAGTTTAGTTCAGCTGTTCTGGAAAGACCAGCACAGGGATGTTTAGTGTGAATGTCATGTGTAACAAGAACCTGCCATTTTTCTCTGATCTAGTCACAGTTACCACACAAAATAACTATTTACCCCACAGATCAAGACACCACTTGGACTATTGATATTTTAACGAATGTCCGCTATCAGATAAACTTGGAATCAGCTCTCACATGGCATCAAGCAAGGAAAAGCTGCCAGCAACAAAATGCAGAACTACTAAGCATCACTGACATTCACGAACAAATACACCTTAAAGGTGAGGATGTAAGCCAAACCTTAACTAGCATCTAGGATCTTTTCCATGTATCATCACAGCTAGGACTCACTGATGCACGTTTGGCTAAAGTCTATGTGCCTAAATACAAAGGAACAAAATCTGTTCCATGTTGTAAATTCGTATTGAAATCACTGACAAGTTTAAACAGAATTCGGTGAAAGCATGGCAGCATTCTCTAAGTGTAACATTAGTGTTGTATTTAGAAGCATTTTATTTTGAAGTTCAATAGTTTTTTTAAAGAGAAAAATATTTTATGAAAATTAAAAGAAAATTTCACCATTGGCCAAAAACAACTGTTAAAACGAAAGAAAAGAAATCCTTTGTGTCCAAAAAAAGATATTTTCTGTCACAGGCAATTTAATATATGTTTTTCAGTCATTTGATGAATATACCAGTTATTCTTAGATTCCTAAATTATGCTTCTATCTATCCATGTATTTTTGGAGGAATACCAGGTCTCTTGTTATCCTCATGATGAATTTGACTTCTAAGAGCTTTGGTATGGGCATTCACACTTACATTATGCAGATATTTCCAGTAGAAATAATTCTGCTAGAATAATTTCAGTGCTACTAGAGAATTTAGGCTATTCTACAATATAACTTCCATCCTGATTTTGCTCTGTTATTTCTCATGTGCTCATTTGGCAGTAGATTACATGAAGACTAAGAGGGACTTTTTGTTTGTGTTTTATATTAATAAAAGTTTTGCCATAGATTAATTTATCAAATTTCTCTGTGTCTAAATATATTTGTGGTATTTTAGTTAAGTAAGAATTGCAACAAACTTCCTAGAGACATTATTAGTGATCGTTGCCTATAAAAAAGTGATTCATAGAATTATTTATTTATTTTGTTTATTTAGCACTAACAGAAAATACAGATTCTGCACTGTGGATTGGACTTAACAGACTGGATTTAAGGAGTGGATGGGAGTGGATTGGAGGCAGTGCTTTACGATATTTAAACTGGGCTCCAGGTAGATATGACATTCTTTGATTCTTTATTTCCAAAGACAAAGTGTCCATAGACCAGTTCTACAGATTATTTGGATATCCATTAAAGTACAACTTTAGCATTAAGCCACCAGAACTATATATGTTTTAGCTCTTGCTGGGAGTTATTGAATATAAACCAGAAACTATTTGTATTCTAAAAATACGTTATCTCTGAAAGCAAAATTGCTTTTCACATAGACATACCGTCTTCTATTTCTCGCTTATAGCAACATAAGCAATATTAAAAGTTAGAAGTATAAATGAGTTACATGTTTATGTCCATTTAAATTATACTATGATGTTTACACGTAGATATTTCATGACTGGAGATGTCAATTCTCTCAGAAGTGGGGAAGGACATAGTGTTTGAGGTGTAAATTCAGCCAGGAATGATATCTCCTGTCCATTTTTCAGCTTGGAGCTCTACTTGATGTTCAGGAGAGTTCACTGTTTTGTTGTACCTTTTGTACCTTTCCCAAAGGAAATCCCTCTCCAGAACCTGGAAAAATTTGTGCAGTCTTGAATCCTGAAACAAAAGCTAAATGGCAAAACTGGGAATGTGATCAGAAACTTGGCTACATTTGTAAAAGAAGAAATGTCACCTTGGTTCCCTCAGGTATGTTCATATATGCTAGTAATTGCAAACAGAACCTATTACCTGTGTTGTATGGCATTTTTTGTGACAAAGATAGAAAGAACGAAAAGCTATTTTCCGTCAGAATTTTCCTAGGCCACATGCTCCTCTTTTTGTTTATCTGTTTTGCTTTTACCCTTTGTAGATCTTCAGTCCTACTGCACAGAGAATGAAGCAAGTAAAAGGCAAAGGATGGGAAACTTATCCTGTCTGTCAGTGTTCCTGATAGCCAAGGCTCCCCTTTGAAGTAATAAGCATAAAAACGGAGAACACACTAGATTTTTTTTTCAGAAGAGGGAAAGAAGTAAAAACAGTACAAAAAGCAAAGGAAGAAAGATTGGCATTTTGCATTTCCTTTTATTCACTTAAGTGTCTCTAGTTTCCTTAGATCTAGTTCTAAATAGGCCTGGAAGTTTTTTGCTCTATCATTATTCTATTCTATTTTAAGAATTGATAATCATTTTGTATTAGCTGCTGCTAATTTCTGATATTCAGTTAAATAACAAATAGGTACTAAAGTAACTGTATTTATAAACGTCACTTGAATGTATAAGCTCCTTGTAACGTATGTTAAATAATATCTCTATTTGAAGTTCTTCATTTTACAAGTTAAAAATACCAATTTTGGAATTGTGTTTATGTTTAATGTATTTTGTATCCATTGTCTCATTATAATGAGTATTTTCAAAGAAAATTGTTAGTTTTAGAGCTTTTGCACAGAATGAATAAAAATATTATCAGTGTCATTTCCTTTGCATTGCATTTGAATTGCTCTGCAACACTGACATTTATTTCTAGGCAGGTTTGGGCCTATTAGTTGCCCAGATGGATGGGTACCATATATAGATCACTGTTACAAGATCTTCAGGGAGACCAAAGCATGGAAGGAAGGTTTGACCTCCTGTCAAAAGGAAAAGGGTAACCTGGCCAGTATTCATACCCTTGAAGAGCACAGCTTCATAGTGTCTCAGCTTGGGTACAGTGAGTATTTCCAGGGTTTCCTTCTGCCTGTATGTCTGCATGCATGAAATACCAGTTGGCTGTTAGAATTTTGCCTTGTATGAGTGCGGGAGAATATCAGTCATCCCAGTAAAAAACTTTCTCAGCAAAAGGATTTTAAAATACTGCCCCTGTTTTGAAAGAAAATAACACAGGTGCGCTGCCTTCTGTACACTTTGGGAACTTTCTGTGGGACTCTAAATCATTCCCTGGGTCTTCTCGCTCACACAGTGCCCAAATCAGCAAATTCATGGGTCTCTGTGAAAGTGATGGAAGAAACCTATTAAAGAAAGGTTTAGCTTTTTATGCTGGTAAATCATCAAGATGATTGGGATCCGGAAAGCTAGCCAAGGTGATTTCCAGGCAGCCAGCTGTGAAATTGGTTGGGCTTTCTGAAAAGCCATACTCAGGTCACTGGATCTAAATTGTCACCTTGATCTTACTATATCCTTTCAAATAGCCCATAAATATGGGGAGTCTGTGGACATGCTGCTACATTTTGGCCCTGTTAACTGGTCTGCCTTTTTTATAGTTAGAAATAGTAAAAGTGTTAACTGACTATAAAAAAAGTGAAATATGGTCAAGACAGAAAAAAAAAAATTATTCAGCAAGAGTAATTTATCTGATTAGGGTCCAATGGTCCTCACAGCAGTTCTCGCCAGGAGAAACTTTTTGTTTCTTATGATTTTTGGTTCTGGTCTCATATCCTAACTTAGTGACTGCTGGAAATTGTGAAGAAGCTGCTTTTATATATATATATATATATATATATATACATACACATATATATATATATATACATACACATATATATATATACATATAATCTCTTATTTGTCTACTGTGTTTCTCTTTCTGTCTGTCCATTCTTCTGCTTTTTTTTTCTGTCTTTCTTTTGGTCTGTTTTGTCTTGTCTTTCCTGTCTGTCTAACTGTCTTTTTCATTTTGGTTATTTTTTTCTTCAGTAAGAATACTTTAAACCAGAGAATCATACCATGACTTAGGCTCAAAGAGACCTCAAAGATTCATATAGACCAGTCTATGCTCTAAATGGGGACAGCTTCAAAGTTAGATAGCGCTGATAAGGACTTTCTGCCTCTGAGTTTTGGATAGTACTAGAATTTCTGTTTCATCTTTTTACCTACAGAAATTACCTAGAACTTGAAAGCTTGGCTTAGAGTATTTCTGAGCTTTTTTCATTTGGCTGAAAGAAATTTGAATTATTCACATCCCGGGTTAAATATAACAGTATTTGAAAATCTGACTACAGAACCTAAAAATTTGCTCTTCACACATTTCTATCATATTACCATTATATATAAGCATTAAGCTAGTAATTTTCCCACTGCCGTGAGGAAGAGAAGCAAAATTTATTAATTCACTGAAAGAACTTTACTACAACTTCAGTTTCCTACACACACTGTATTTATTCCAATATGTATTTGAAAAAATTATCTTATAAAAGAATCATTCAGTGCACTAAATAAATCTGTGTTCATAAATTTGTGAAAGGGATTACATTCTCAGCTTGAAGTTGCTGGGAGAAAGATTCAATGACTGACATAAGAGGTCTTTTCTACTTCTATATTTCCATGTTTTAGAGCCAACAGATAAGTTATGGATTGGGCTGAATGATAATAAGGTCCAAATGTACTTTGAATGGAGTGATGGTACCCCTGTGACATACACAAAATGGCATCTGGGAGAGCCATCCACCACAAACAACAGGCCAGAAGATTGTGTGCTCATCAAGGGGCAGGTGAAATTATTCACTTTATATTTGACTTTAATGTGGAAATTAACTTCTTAATTAAGACCCACTACTTCAGCAACTAGTAAGGGCCTGAAAAATGGATATGAAGACACAGAATGATACTCAAGCAACAGCTTCCATCTTTTTCTATGAATAAATAAATAAGAATACATTATCATAGAATCATAGAATGCTTAGGGTTGGAAGGGACCTCTAGAGATCATCTAGTCCAACCCCCCTGCACACGCAGGGGCACCTAGAGCACGTGGCACAGGACTGCATCCAAGTGGGTTTTGAAGATCTTCAGAGAAGGAGACTCCACAACCTCTGGGCAGCCTGTTCCAGTGCTCTGTCACCCTCACTGTTAAAAATTTTTCCTTAAGTTCCTGTGGAACTTTTGGTGCTTCATTTTGCGGCCATTACCTCTAGTTCTGTCAGTGGCCACCACTGAAAAGAGGCCAGCACCATCCTCTGCACTCCCTCCCTTGAGGTACTTATAGACACTGATCAGGTCCCCTTTCAGCCTTCTCTGGCCTCACCAGGGCTGAGTAAAGGGACAGGATCACCTCCCTCGACCTGCTGGAGACGCTCTGCTTAATGCACCCCAGGATCCCATTGGCCTTCTTGGTCACGAGGGCACACTGCTGCCTCATGGTCAACTTGTCATCCACCATGACACCCAGGTCCCTCTCTGCAGAGCTGCTCTCCAGAAGGTCAGCCCCCAGCCTGTTCTCTTCAGCTAAATGTTACCACTGAACTTTGTGGGACTATGAAGCAGGTCTCTGAATGTACTTTGAGTATAAACTCTTAATTTAACAACCATTTTCCTCTGGCAGCAATGGTGGCACATGGGGATCCCTGCTGCCCCTTTTGTGTGTAGTCATTGAGACCCATGCTTTGCCCCTTCACTGCACGACATGACTGGTGGTGTCATGGCCTTGTAAAACCCAGCTGGGACCAGCCATATCCTAAAGGAGCCTGGAAACTCAACATCCTCATCCCCTCTGAACACTCCTAGGAAAACTATACTACTGTAAGCTGGCCCCTCACTTCACTGTGAGGAGATGCACAACTAGAGGGACTGCATAAGGGAAAAATACCTGTTTTAAAAGTTGAAGGAGAAATAAAGTGAACAGTTCTCTTAAAACTAACCCTCTTATCTCATTGCACTTTCTTTTTTCCTGCTACCTAGGACGGCTATTGGGCAGACTATGTCTGTGAGAGAAAAGCTGGTTATATTTGTAAAAGAAAACCTATATCTCTAACAGCTGGAGAAAAGGAAACCACTGATGCAAGCTGCAAAAATGTAAGTGTTTGAGAATGGAACATTAATTTTCCAGATTAAATAGAAACTTTTTCTGAGGATCATCTAGAATTACTTGGGGGTCAAGTCATTAAACTTGCCATCAAATTTCTCCTTCTTTCAGTTACTTTAAGCTTTATTAAGACATTTACAGAAACTGCCTAGAAGGAATCTGTAATTTTACTGCAATTACTTCATTTCTAAATTGTATAGCTCCCAAAAACACATGATATCGCGATTGTTTAAAACTCATATAAAGTTTTTATAATCCTGTTACAGGGCTGGAGAAGATACAGATCCTACTGCTACTTTATTGGAAATGTACAAGCAACATTTTTAGAAGCAAAAAAGACATGTGAAGGGGAAGAAGGTTACTTAGCCACAGTTGAAAGTAGGTATGAGAACGAATTTTCCTTGTCTTTTAAATAGATAAAGGTTTTATGTTCTAAAATACTCTTGGGTTATTTCTACACTCTAATTCAATGTCAAATAGCAAATTATCTAAATTACAGCTAAATTGAAAAGTCTTATGTTTGTTCAATAATTTGTATAGTGTCAGAATTCCATTGCAAGGGCTTCTACTGCAATTTGAAAAGAAAACAAAAAGTCTCCATCTTTCATTCTGCCATGGAAAAGGAAAAAGGAATTCATCATCAGATTAGATTAAATACAATCTGGGTAAATTATTTTGTTTATTATGACCATTTTTGCAGATATGAACAAGCCTATTTGACCAGTCTGGTTGGACTGAGGCCTGAGAAATATTATTGGCTTGGTCTCTCTGACATGGAAGATCAAGGCACTTTCAAGTGGGTCAATGGTGAAGCCATCACCTTCACACACTGGGATGCAGCAATGCCTGGTAAGTACTTGCTTGCTGTCCTTATTTGGTTTGCATAAGTGATATTCTCTGAATTTCATTCTTTAGACTTTCAACATATTTTTTTCAAGAGCTGACAGTTCTCAGAACTCATCTTTGAATTTCAAAGGGACAATTTGAATTTCAGTTTTATTTTAGGACTTTAATGTACTTACCCTGTCAGATTAACCTTTTGGCTTGTCTTCACAAAGAGAATCATATTAAGAATATGAGCAATAAAACTCTTTTAAAAATATCAAGAGAAGAAAGTCTGCCAGAGAGTCTGAAGTACTAGTGGATGATGCAAAGGAAATGCTTGGAGATCAGCCTGTAACAGTAAAGAAAATTCTTCTAGCAACTGTGTTGAGTGAGGAAGGAACTGGGCTTTTTGTTCTGGAAACCTTCTTTGCAGGGATCTGATCAGAGAGTTGTTTCAAGCTGAAATACCAGGAGAATAGATTGTGGAAAAAGTAGAGAAGTTAAAGAGCAACAACTTGTCAGGACTAAGCAAAGCTGTAAAGGCACACATCTTACCTATTGAGGTAAGAGCAGAAAAAACAGGCAAATTTGGGGGTAACATTTAATTTGGTGCCATCCAGGGGCACGTGGGGCAAAACAGACTAATAATTCAGAGGTAGACTTGTTGGAACTGCAATAAAGAATAGATAACAAGAATATAATTGGAAGATACATGAAATTGCTTTTGTAAAGGGAGGTCACACACAAAAATCTCTTAGAGCTCTCTGCAACAAGCCAACAAACACATGGACAAGTGAAATCTGGTTAGTGTGGTTTTAATTAATCAATTACTGAAAGCCTTTCGGCATGTGCCACCAGCCTTTAAAGAAAATAATTCATTTTGACACAAGAAAGCTCTTTATATGAATACGAAATTTGGTTAAAGATAGGGAGTGCAAGTTAAGAATTAATGGCTAGTTTTTATGAGAGTGCTCACCATTAGAATCCCACAATAATCTGGGCCAAAAGCCATGTAATCCATACATTTACAAACAATATGGAAAAGATACAGACAATAGAACAAATAGAACAGACAAAAGAATACAGACAATATGGAAGAGTGAGGTGACAAAAAATTGCAAATGACACCAAATCATTTCTGGTTATGAAGATGTGTCTCTGAGAAGTTGTGGAGAACCTTGGGAGAATGATTGCCTGAGAATGATCCTTCTCTGGAGATCTTCCAAACCCGCCTGGATGCCACCCTGTGCCATGTGCTCTGTGTGTCCCTGCTTGAGCAGGGGGGTTGGGCTAGATGATCTCCTGAGGTCACTTCCAACTTCAACCATTCTGTGATTCTGTAAGATTTGATGTAGATTAAGTGTGGTCATAGGAACAAACCATGTTACATTGACATATAAAATTATGGACTCCTAGCTGGTTATTTCATTTCAGAAATGAATTCCTGGCACTAGAGTAGACAGATCTAGATAAACATTGGGTCAGTGCTCAACAGAGAGTTAAAAAGTAAATCAAATGATAAAATAATTAGGAAATGAAGCAAGAACATAACTGTGCCATTGGATAAGTGTGTGTGTGTGTGTGTGTGTGCGCGCGCGTGAGTGTGACTGCATCTTGTCAGGGATATGCAGTTCTAGTTCCCTCTGAAAGAATAAAAAAGAACTGAAGAGATTAGGAGAAGGAGAAAAAGAATAATAAAATGTATGGTACAGGGTCTACAAAAGGAAAAGTTATATATACTAAGATTTTTTCTTAATTCTGTGATTTTTGACCTGGAAAAGAGATGACAATTTTAGGGAGAGAGGTCTGCAAAACCATAAACAGCATGGAAAATATAAGTATAAGCTGATTGTTCAGCCTCCTTGTGCATAGGAAACACAGGTGACTGAGTGAGGGTAGCAAAACTCACAGTATATAAATCAGTTTTCATTACACCTTCATACAATATATAGTTAAAGTATGGAGTTCCTTGCCATAAAAATATGACATAGGTGTGTATTTAAAATTTCTGCATATTCAGGGAAAGAATGGAGTGGCTCAAAACTGCTGACCCATGACTGGTTGAAATTTTTGTTTGAAAATCTTTTACTCTCGTTTTCATATGTGGATAGAATTTTCGGTTCCCTTCCGGAGAAACTCATACTTATTTACTCTTACTCATATTCTTTAATGTTTTCTTGTTAAAGCAAACATCACAGGATGCACTTTATCATATCTGTGCTGCTGTTTTTATATTTGTCCACATATGCACTGACGGTTTGATTTTGATTTTTCCGAAAAGCACTAGTGACTGAGCTAATGTTGTCTGAATTGATATAAAGAATACTTAATGTAAGTGGGAATTAAGTTCTCACTTGTAAACACAGGTTTTCACTACAACAAAATAAGACATACTTTATATCCATAAAATTTGTTATGAGGGAAAGGAAAAGGAAAAGAGAAGGATCCCAGTGAGCTTGTGACTTCCTCAAACAGAAACCGCTAGTCTTTCACTCTGTGAAAGCCACCTAAAATATAATTCTACTATTGCAGTGTCATTGTACTGCAAGAAGGGAATGGGTACTGCCTGTTTGTAAGTAATTTAGGTTCTATAAAATGCCCAACCTGCATTTTTTCTCATATAAAGGAAGGAAGCCAGGATGCATTGCCATGAGAACTAGCCCTGCAGCTGGATTATGGGATGTTATCGACTGTGAGACAAAGCAAAAATTTATCTGTAAACAATGGGCAAAGGGTGCAACAGCTCCACCTATTCCAACTACAGCTCTAGTCCCCACATGCCCTGAAGGCTGGGTATCAAACACCGTCAGCAGTTCCTGCTTTAAAGTAAGTACACAAACAGTTGAAGGAGGAAGAAAGGCCCTGTGCTGCTTCATTTGAAATTAAAAAAAAAGAGAGAGAGAGAGAAAGGACCTTCTTCATTTTCATACTTCTTCATTTTGCAGTATCTAAGATCGAAATATAATAAAAAAAAAGAAAAAAAAAGGAAAAAAAATCACCAGGAATTATCTGTGAGAGAGGAGGGACTAAAGAAGAAAGATGAGGTTGAATTTAAAACAATGGATGGGACAAAGAGACAGAAAGGAAACTTAAAAGGTTTCTGTGTGTGGAGGAGACAATGGAAAAAAAAAGAATGTAAATATTCAGTCCCTGGATTGACATAAGGAAAAGAGTAAAAAAACAAAAAAACAAAATTAAAACATTATTTTAGAAGATAGTGATGTCAAGATATTGTATTAAATAGTAGAAGCATCCAAGCTAGTCTGTTAGCATGACTTTTTATATCAGAAGTGATCACTAGGTTGTGCAAATATCCCGTATTTAGCTGTGATGCTGTGTGAAATACAGTAACTGAAATCTGCCCACAAGCAGGATAAAGCCTAATACTGGATCTTTCAAAACAACCACAGAATAAAACATGACATCTCAAATTAAAGGCTAACTAAATCAATGTTTATTAAGAGCATTAATTGCAGAGTTTCGAATGCAAAGTTACAGATAACTTGTACTTGAAGTACACTCAGTTGTGAAAGGACTTTAAACAAGAAGTACGGGTTGTGTGCAAAGACTGATTTAGGTTAAATCCCAAATAAAATAAATAAATGTAAGATATTAATATTTTTATCACTTTATTTGCATTATGAAGTCCTTGTGTTTTTATTATGTCCGTTTTTTCATTTCTTTCATACTCTCCTGGTACAATATTTATTTAGACTCCCTTTCCCCACAGCGTCTTTTTATTTCTTTCCAACCTTGATCAAACTTGTGGTCATTCTCTGTTAAATTACCAAACTGTTAAGACAATCTATTGCAAATGTAAGCCATTGCAAATAAGCCACCATGAGACCATTTTTGCCTGTATCTTCAGACCCCTCTGATGGCATCTTAACTCTCAACCATAACCATAGTCTTTTACTCTCCTTTGGAGGGTGACCTGGGTCTTCCTCCAGATAAAACTAGTTAAAGCTGGTTGTATTTCTCTATAACAGTTCCTCTGCTTTGTCATCCCTATAACTAGCTAGACCATTCTGTAAGTGTAAAAATATTATGAGCAGTTAATGGTAATCCATGCTATTTCTCTTATGGACTACTGGGTTTTATGAAACCTCATTTATACATAAGAGAGATTATTTTATTAAAGAATGCAGTATATATTTTAAGCGTTTTCTCTCTAGTGTTTTTACAGAGACAATATTGGAAAGAAATCATGGTTTGAAGCTCGACATTTTTGTAGAAAAATAGGAGGGGATTTGGCTACCATTAATAGTCAGGAGGAGTCAAAATTAGTAAGTAAAGCATTAAGGTGAGTATTTACTCTTATCTTAGTAGGGAATTTTTATTAATTCATATTTAATATGAAGTATTATATATATATTTTAGCTGATTTCTGAAACATATGGATTACTTAAAAGCAGAAATACTTCATGCTACTTTGAATTTATTACCTAATGATGAATATTTCAACTGTTTGATTGTAAAAGGGTTGATTATATCCAGGAGCTTTATACGTCAGTGTCATGATTAATTGATATGATTTAGGAAGATAAGAAATCACAGCAATTTTTTTTTTAATAGGGTAAAAAATGTGGCCAATGTATTTACTTTTGACTCACCTTTAAGCAGTCAATTCTTGAACCATTTTCAAAAGCAAGAGCCTCTCTCAAACTGTGGGCAGTTCCTTTCCTCAGGAAATGGAGCACTGCCAGGGCACAATCAGCAATGCCACAGGGCCAGTTGTTCTTACAGATCCTATATGGCATTGATTATGCGACATAATCTTGCTTCCTTAGCCTTTGTCTAAAGTAACAATTATTAACACATTTTTGAAGACAGTTATTAAATTTTTCAACTGATACAATAGTCTTTCCACAGCTCATGATCCAGAGCCAATGCTTCGCAAAGGATGCAGTGCCTTTGGGTGCATCTGCACATTCAAACTGGGGATCACAGCAGGTATAAGCCTTGCAGAGCCCTGTGAAAGCCCCCAGGCTGTATCTGATAGGCAGGTGAGGTGTGTAAGAGGGAGATAAGCATTAGATATTGCTATGAAGATCTGCAGAAAGTTTACCCAAAGCTACCTGAAGTCAAATGGAATAAATAGTATAATTTCACTGTGCTTTACCACATTTAATGATATATTTCTAGATGTCATTTGTACTGATGATTACACCTTTTTCTGTCTTGTAATTTGTGATAGCACATGTCGTTCTTATGAGATTTGGACAGGATTGTTTTCCTTGAATCCAGATGAAGGATTTGCTTGGAGCGATGGTTCTCCAGTAAGTATTTTACTTTTTTCATCAAGTTTATTTGCTCAAGATGTTTTGGGGCTTCTACATGTGCTTTTTGATTCCTTTTACTGTTCTTGTCTTCAAAGAGTACACTAATCCTGCAAGCATTTACGTGACTGCTAATCTTGACCAGCATGAGTAAACCATCATAAATACATTTGAACACATGGAAATCATCTGCAGCTACCATCATTTAGTCTTGATCAGTATCTGTAGCTTTCTGCATGCTACTGGAGCATATTTTCTTTTACAAGTATATAATATGAACACATAAGAATATAGAACATGGTCATATCTGATCTTGCATCCTGTCTTTGGCAGTGGCCAGAAGAATCTTAAGAAGTAGACCTAGAGCAAACATTTAAGATACTTTCTCAGGATGCTCTTGTGCCCCTCTGAAAGGGTAGCTTGGGATCTTCCAGGACCAGAGGTCTGATCTTTATATTTAGTGTGTTTTTTTATCTATGAATGTATGCAGTTATATCTTGAACTCATGTAAATATCCACAAATCTGTGAAATTTTCCTGCAGCTTGTTACCCTACATTTACTCCCACACTCCGTTTCTTGTTTCCTAAGACACACAGAACCATTCCTTTTATCCTGTATTACGTTAGTTTCCTTAAAACTATTTTTTAATTATTTTGAGGAGTTCTTTTTGAAAATTCTGTTAGATTTTATCAGGTATACCTCTCTTCCTGCATTAATTCCTTCAGAGGTAACTTCATTTAAAAGACTAAACTTCCCTTGCAAAAGCCAGGCTGACTTCTTCCTCTGATGTAGTTCCCTTTTTGGAAGCTTAGGGACTGGAAGCTGTGCATGTGGAATGGATGCACATACGGTCACAGCCACCGGATGGCTTCTTGACAGCATCATTTTGAATCAGGTCACAGTCAGTTAAATGAACCTCACCTTGTCGAGGCCAGAGCAGCGTGAGAGGTGAAATGCATAGTGACATGAAGAAGTCCAATGGAAACAGTCCATTTGCCTTGTCCTATTCTGACTGCCACAGGGGATAAGGTGTGAAGGAGAGCAAAAGCCCTCCTTGGCAAGTGAGCCTGATACCTCACCATTGACATCATTACTCCACTATGATAATTCTTATGCTTGTTCTATATATTTCTCCTTTTTTTTTTTAAGTGAGAATGTCTCAAGCAAATTCAGTTTGTTCTTGTTTGCTACTGGTGAATATAACTGCTGAAACTGTCTTTGAGATGAAAAAGAATGATTTCTTCCATAGGTTTTGTACACAGGCTGGGACAATAGTCCAAGAGATTCAGGAAGAGACATGTCCTGTGGCTTACTGAAAAACAGATTTTCTGATGATAAATGGCATATTTCTCACTGTGAAGCTCTGCATGACTGGATTTGTCATATAAAAAAAGGTAAATTATTCCTTTGAAGTAGGAGGCATAAATAAAATAAGTACTTTTAAGTAGTTGTTTTCTAATGAGCAGCAGGAGAAATAGACAAAATTTTGAAAACTATACTCTTTTTCAGTGGCAGGCAAAAAGAACATAATATGAGCCAAGGATTTCTCAGTGTTCAATGATGAAAATAAATGATTGTTTTTTTTTTTTAGGCAAATTAGGGTTATAAATAAGCTGTGTGTTTTCCAGGGCTTCATAGATTGTAAGCTATTGTATAGTAAGAAGCTTTACTTCTTTGTGTGCTTTTGCTGTAGGAAGCACAAGCTGTGTATTACTTACAATACTAGATTTTATACCTACATAGATAGAGCTAAAAAAAATTAATATAAAGAAAGATTTGAAGAAATGTACACCAGATGTATTTTGCCTTGAGGTTTGACTGGATTTACAGTAAATTATTAGCAGTCAAAAAGAGACTGTGATGGGAAGGTGATGGGAAATGGGTAGAAGCAGAAGGTTTTAGGTTGCCTTCCTGTTACCCTCTTATTCCTGCACTAGAGCCACGTGGGCCCTGTGGAGTCAGCTAGTCTGGGTATGTCTCTTGTTAAGCAACCCAGGCAGCCACGACAGGACACAGAGATCTGCACAGCCTTGGGACACCGGCTTTACTGCCTGAAAGTGGCATGGAATCACTCACGTGGGATATTTTGGTTCTACCAGACCAGATATTTTTCCAAAGGAAAATAGTTCCAATAGAAAATTTTCTGCTGCATCCAGACTTTGTCGTGATGGGCTGATCAGGAAACCATTTCATATGAGAAAAACTTTCAGGCTCATAGCTGTTTTTGTGTGTTTCTTGGTTGTTGCCTAGGCTGATCACAGCTATGGCAGTATGGTTAAGAACATATCTCATTTTGCTTATGAATATTTGGAACTGAGATTTTTTTTGAGGTAAAGATGAGGTAAACTTAATGGAAACTTTATCTTTTTTGATAAGAAAAATCATAGTAGGGATTATGACCTGTTTACAGCTTCATCAGTAAAGGAGCTGTAAAACCAAAGCTAAAAATATTTTAATTCACTCCACTGTGGCTCACAGAATCTCAGAGCAACCTTCCTTTATATTGCTCTGTGCAAATAAAGGTTGTAATCCAAACCATGACTTTGCTGACATGAAATGCAGTTCATGATACAAATATAAAAGTAAATGTCAATGCATATTTCATGATATGTAGCTGAAGCACATGGTAAAACATGTTTCTTTTCTAATCAATGGCAAAAGATTGCAGAACTCTAGATGTTTCTCATTCATTTTTTATAGGCAATCATAAATTATTTAATACATTTCAGGAACACATCACAAATCTGTTCCCTTCTATTTTGCAGGAATTCCTCTAAAGTCTGAACCACATGACACATATGGTAGGTTTTTTGCATGTTCATCTTGTTTATTAAAATTGGTATTCTAAAACAAACTTCTATTTTATTATTCTCCAGAATATAAAACCACTGCAGATGGATGGGTAATATATGAGGAGAAGCTATACTACATCAGCAAAGAGCGTGAGTCTATGGAAAAAGCCCAGGAGTTTTGCAGAAAGAATTCTGCAGATCTGGCTGTTGTTAACAGTGATAGTGAACGCATGTTCCTGTTGAGAACTCTGAAACGAAATGTAAGAATCAATATCAACTGACATCCCAAAGTAGAAATGCTTTTGACAATCTGTTCCCCAAAACTGAATTGTGTCAAGGGTAGCGCTGTGAGCATTTTCACTGATGAAATCTGCCTCAGATGAGATCTATGAAGTTCCTCTCAAAGTGCTTTGTCCTTTGGTATGTCAAGCTGGAGTGTTTGTCTTCACAGCCCTTTGGGTCCTTAGGGATTTGTTTTATTGTTCACCTGCATGAGGAAGAGCACTGGGAAGAGCAAGGTAGGAGGATGTCATGCTGATGTGGGAAGCGTTCAACATGAGAGTGACTTGCTCTTGTATATCTAAATATATGATTGTACTTAATTACAAGTATATGCTTTAGTGTTACTGCCTTTAGCAAGCATCTGCTCTATGTACCTAACAATGGTCAGTGAATTTCTGTTTGTTCTACTTCAAAGATTTTATTCTTAATTAAAACAGTATCTTTCTGTTCTAGGATAGATTTTCGGATTATTCTAAATCGTACTTCATTGGCTTAAAAGTGAGTCTTGACAAAAAATTTGGGTAAGTTAGCATGATCACTTCAGCTCTTAACATGTAAAAACAAATACTGCATTTTATGTAGCTGAAGGTAACAAAATGTATAATTTTTAAGGCCTGAAAGCAGTTGTATGTACTAAATACAAAGCAGTATGAAATAGTCCTGGAATAGTCCAAACTCCAATACTTTTCTCCAAAAAGGAAAGGAGGGAAGGGGGAGGAGAGCATTTTTTTTTCTTGAAAAATCACTTATCTAATGTATTTCTTGGTATTTCTTCAAGTACTCTGATTTTCTTAAGTTTCTGTTAAAGCTTTGCCTAAGGCTTTATTTTATACATCTAAAACCTGTAAATACACATGTACAAAATGTGTTCCATTCTATACAGCTGTCATGGAACGAGTGGTGGTGGGGGTGAGAGACACAATGCACTCTACTCGTGTGAAAGAAATAGTAAGAGATTTTATTGATAATGATAATGGTTTCACGAGATTCGATGGCCAGAGTTCACTTATTATTTACTGCATACAAGAAATACACAAAATTACCCTCCCATTGAGTCATGGGGTTCAGATTGGAGCACCTTGCTTTCTAGACTCCTTCTGAGTGGAGTCTGGGTGCAGCTGGATCCACTCCTAGTCCCAGACCTGGTCAACGGTTTATGTCTAAGGGATTTGTGCACAGTTACGTCAGTAAAGTTTACAAGTTCAAAAAGCAAGTGCACTAAGTGACTACACTTACCACAAATCTGTTGCGGCGAGGATCTCTCAGCCCCGAGGAGTATCCTTGGGAGGCATCCCTGCTCAAGAGGAGATCCTGGTGTGCAGCCTGCTGCCATGGAAGAAGAGCTCAATGGGCTGTCGGGCTATCCCCATGTTTATGGGATAAGATGATTGACTTATAGTCGTTCTTTCAATTCAGAAATGACTGTTGGCTGGTGTACGCACAATTAGCCTTATCTCCCCATCAGGATGCAGCCATCAGGACAGTTATTAGTCGGGAAGAAATCAGGGAGGCAACCACTAGGATCAGATAACGTCACTGGTGGTTAACACCTGAATAGGGCTACATGTGAAAAGTCAGATTGAGCCAGGGAAGGAGCACATCCATCACAACAGCCTGTCCCTCATGTGCTTTGTATCA